ACACACACACACATACACCCACACACACACACACCCACACACATACACCCACACACACATACACCCACACACATACACCCACACACACACAGAGTGGAAAACGACCCAAGGCGACTTGAACCAGAAAACCAGTCCAGTCGCCTTCGACTCGTCTTCCAGAAACTCCTGGTTCAACTTTTACTCACTTCCAGATTTTTACAAAATAAAATAAAATCATCACAAAGGATGACCTTTTCACCCTTTGAAGGGAATTCAATGCAACAGACCAACAAAAACCAGAGAAAGATTTTCCTCTGGATCCACTAAATCAAATCCAGACGTACAAGTTCAGACAAGGAAAAAACAGATTCCTGATGATTCTGAGAAAATATTCTGCAGACTGATGAGAGTAAGACCTGACAGTCAAACATGGCGGTGGCAGAATGATGCTCTGGGCTGTTTCAAGGAGTCATGAATTCTGCAGAAAGTCCATCTGGAATGGAGGAAACCCACCAAGACATAGGAAAGGTCTAGTCAAAGAACACAATAAAACACGTTTCCAGGCTGGTTCAGATGGTTCATTAACTGCGTTTTGATTTTACTCTGATTCTAAAACCAGCCAGTAAAACCATCAGAAACATTTCAGCTAAATTAGAATAAATTACAACACTTTGTGATTTTCCTGTGCGTGAGAACAGCAGCGCTCTGTCGCCTCTCCAACAGCCGTGACCTCATCCAGGCCCGTCCATCAGAACTGCCGGTTCTGTCAGAGCCATTACCGACCGACACCCGATCTGCAGCGCCGCAGCTTCACCAACAATCAGCGCGTTAATAATGCATGCAGGATCAAAGCTGCTGCCGGAGCGGATCAGAGCGGCACAACAACAAACTCCCTGCAGCGTCCTGATGAAGAGGAGAAGGAAACATGGCGGCCAGAGAGTCACCAGCAGACGCATCGGCTGTTTCCCAGCATGTGGAACCAGAACATCTGCTCCACCTCCAGCTGCTGTGGTTCCCTGTCAAACCAACCTGTTCCCCTCCTGGCCTGTGGGGGCGCTGCACCAACAACCACTGAAGGCTTTGGTTGTATTTACCCAGAATGCCCTGCCCTGTAGTCTACTTCCTACTTCTGGAGCGGTCTGCGGTTCGTTTTGCGTTCACATTCAAACTGAACCAGAGTTCACCTCAACTGAACCCAGACCAAGGTCTGGAGGACCAGAGGTCAAAGGTCGATTAGCGTTCACATCTCACCAACGGAACCGGATTATATAGACAAACGGACTGGAGCCGGATTAAAGCAAATGAACTGGGTTGGTGGGAACGCAGCCTTAGTAAAACATGCAGAGATGAAATAAAATATTCAAAATGTAACTGGGAGTTTAAAGTTTAACAGTCTTCCATGACTTCCTGTTTGCTTCAGTTTTCAGAACTTTCTCTGAGCCACTCATCAAAATGGGAAAGACAAAAACGCGTCTGAAAGCAGATGTGTGCTAGCTAAAGGCTAAAGCAGCAGAAATAAATTACCCGGTCAGAAACGTGTGAGGTCTCCAATTCTGCGCATTAACCCTTTATATTAGCATGGTGCTGATGGAGGAGAGGCGGAGCACACCCCACCCGCCTGGGCCACCGGGGGTTAATTAAACTGATTGGGTCCAGAGAGACAGCGCCAGCCTCTGACAGGTGTGTCTGAGCGTGTGTGTGTGTGGCTGTACTTAACGCGTCAAGAACACAGTGTACTCTCATGCTCATCCCCTTGGAGCATGTGTGTGTGTGTGTGTGTGTGTGTTACGTTATGCATATGCATTGCAGCCTCCGTATTTAACTCTCCATTTGCCTTTTGTTTTAATTCATTTCATGTGTGTGTGTGTGTGTGTGTGTGTGTGTGTGTGTGTGTGTGTGTGTGTGTGTGTGTGTGTGGGCCTCTTCAGGAAGCCTGATGAGCTTTCTGCCTGGAACCAATCGCTGCTCCACACCTGTCTGCCTCTGGAAGAGCAGAGCCGTTCTCAGCTCAACGCTGCACTGATTACAGAAGCGCCGCTGCGCGACGCATGCTGAAGGGTTCTTCACACCCGCCTGATGGCTGCAGCCGCAGAGTGACAGCAACGGCCGTCAGAGCCGTCGGTTTGCACTGATGCTGTTTGTGTTCAGCAGTGAAACTAGTGTTATACAACAGGAGGCTGGCAGGGGAGAGCAGCTTCACACACACACACACACACACACACGCACACACACACACACACACCCCACACACACACACACACACACACACACACACACACACACCCACACACACCCACACACACACACACACACACACGCACGCACACACACACACACACACACACACCCCCCACACACACCACACACAACACACACACACACACACACACACACACACCACACACACCACACACACACACACGCACACACACGCACACCCCCCCCCCCCCCCCCCCCCACACACACACACACACACACACACACCAAAACTGGCAGGTAGAACAGTCAAATTAGCCTCTGGAGGACGAAGCCACCCGGATCTCCACGGGGAAACGTAAGAGACGGAAAACAGAGGAGAGAAGATGGAGGACATGGAAACACAAGGCATGAATGAACAAACGGATAAAATACATAAGAGAACGGCTGAAAGCTTCGTCATGATGTTATGGGGCTCTGTTATAGCAATAATGATAAGAACTATTTATTATTTATCATTTTTGGAAACTCTGTGTCACAGCAATTATAGTCCCACAAACACTTTAAAACATTCCTGTTTGTGAAATGCTTCTGTAGGACATCAGTCACAGTAAGAGGTGCGATTCATATCACTGCAGTTTTTATTTCCAAATTTATTCATATGTATTGATAGTTTCATTGGGCAAATAATAAAACTACCAATAACAGTTTTTAGCTTTTCCTCACCATCAACTGGAATGATTGATGGTAACAATAAATCAAACTTACTATGATAAGAAATGTATCACTATACATAAAAACGAGTCAAACTAGATGGTTATTTCTGATGTTCCTCCTTCTGTCTCATTTAGAAATCTGCAGCTGGCAGCAGAAGATTTATGAAGTGATGAGGATCAGAACCCGATACAGAAACAGAACCGAGAGAACGAGCAGTTGACCCGAATCAGACCTGGAACCGTGACCGAAGCCGCTGGATTCACCCCAGAAGTTATGGTGAGAAATGATCGTATCGCTTTGACACCATTTTGGTAAAACTTCAAATTCCAATTAAAATTTAAAACTTCAAGACATTTGAAATATCAAAAATAAACAAAACAAACAACAAATAAAATGAATTATGGAGTTTCTGATAGTTGAAATCAAAACTGCAGAATAAAAACTTTTAGCATCCAGTTTTTAGCAGGAAGAGAAAAACAATAAATAATGCAAATGGAAAATATTGAGCTCATTTTAATTCATCATGTGACGAATTAAAGGCCTGATTCAAACCAAACAGCCGACAGGAGAACAAAGAAGCAACAGGAAGCAAGCAGACAGGAAAGACGGGTTTTCAAAATAAGACAAGAACTAAATTACTGAAACAATCAGTAATTTATTTACTGAGACTCAATAAGAGATTTTTTTATTGTCGTTATTCCAGTTGCAAATGAAACCTGACTGCAGTCAGACATCTGTATGAATGGTTCCGACCCAAACCCAAACTGAGAACGAAGCCGCAGCGCTCCATTTAGGCGGTAAAGATGGCTGCCGCAGCGCTCCAGTAAAGATGGCTGCCGCAGCGCTCCAGTAAAGATGGCTGCTGCAGCGCTCCGTTTAGGCAGTAAAGATGGCTGCCGCAGCGCTCCAGTAAAGATGGCTGCCGCAGCGCTCCGTTTAGGCAGTAAAGATGGCTGCCGCAGCGCTCCAGTAAAGATGGCTGCCGCAGCGCTCCGTTTAGGCGGTAAAGATGGCTGCCGCAGCGCTCCAGTAAAGATGGCTGCCGCAGCGCTCCGTTTAAGCGGTAAAGATGGCTGCCGCAGCGCTCCAGTAAAGATGGCTGCCGCAGCGCTCCAGTAAAGATGGCTGCCGCAGCGCTCCGTTTAGGCGGTAAAGATGGCTGCCGCAGCGCTCCAGTAAAGATGGCTGCCGCAGCGTTCCGTTTAGGCGGTAAAGATGGCTGCCGCAGTGCTCCAGTAAAGATGGCTGCCGCAGCGCTCCAGTAAAGATGGCTGCCGCAGCGCTCCGTTTAGGCAGTAAAGATGGCTGCCGCAGCGCTCCGTTTAGGCAGTAAAGATGGCTGCCACAGCGCTCCGTTTAGGCAGTAAAGATGGCTGCCGCAGCGCTCCGTTTAAGCGGTAAAGATGGCTGCCGCAGCGCTCCAGTAAAGATGGCTGCCGCAGCGCTCCAGTAAAGATGGCTGCCGCAGCGCTCCGTTTAGGCGGTAAAGATGGCTGCCGCAGCGCTCCAGTAAAGATGGCTGCCGCAGCGCTCCAGTAAAGATGGCTGCCGCAGCGCTCCAGTAAAGATGGCTGCCGCAGCGCTCCAGTAAAGATGGCTGCCACAGCGCTCCAGTAAAGATGGCTGCCGCAGCCATCTTTACTGGATGGCTGCGGCTCCGTTTAGGCAGTAAAGATGGCTGCCGCCGTCTGTGGATGGATTTTAAAGGTGCTGGTCACCAGATCAGAACCAACCGTCAGGATTTTGCTGCAGACATCGTCATTAATTTGCGTTGCAGCAGTAAAACTTTGTTTGTATCAGTTTTCTACCGACTGGAATATTTTCCACATTCTGACAGATTTCTGCTGCTTTCTTGGCCGTCTGACTTTTTCCTCATCGGGTTTTTAATGCGTCCAACTTTTGGATGGAAACAATTAACAGCGAAACAATTGAAACAAGAAGAAACATGTTGCTGAAGAAGTTAGTTTGACAGATTCCCAATCTTTGATCAGATTGTTTAAAATCTGTTACGATTTGATCAATTTATTTAATTTGTTATGTTTGTATCATTTCTCTTCAGTTAATCTAAAGTTTATGCAACTTGTGTCTCAAATTTTCCAGCTTAAATTTTAACATTTCATTGTGCAACTTTAATCATCCTGTGGTGCAGAACAAACCTCCCTTTTGGTTCTGATTGAGACCCGGTTCAGCCAGAACCGGTCCAGCTGTCCATCTGCCTGTTCACGATGGACCAGAGACTCGTCTCCCCTGGACAAACATCGGGTCCTGAGCCAGTTGGAACCGACGCTTCTGACCTATCATCATCTGGGAAACGAAAGAGAAGAAGTGTTCAGCCAGATCTGGACCAGAACCTGGACCAGAACCAGGTCCAGCTGATTATGCCAGCAGACCCCTCAGAAGAGGACAAAGAGGACGAGACGCAGCAGACGGTTTTTCTACTGCAAAGACAGCGCAACGTTTCCAGTTTTTCCACTAAACTTTCACCTTTTCTGCATTTTGTTTCAGTTTCAGGAACGTTTTAGATAATGTGGACGGATCCAAATGTGGACGGATCCAAATGTGGACGGATCCAAATGTGGACGGATCCAAATGTGGACGGATCCGCTGCTGAAGGAGCTTCCTGTTGTTTCCACTCAGTCAGCCGCTGCTGCTGCGTCACAAACACATCGAACCAGGAAAATATCGACACCATTTTAAACACAAGAAAAGTCTCTGGAAAGAAAAGTTTCCCCTTGGCTGGGATTAAAGAAAAATGATCATTCTGTATGTAATATTTCATGAAAATGATAATTAATGTTAAACCTGAATACTGTGGCTTTATGGCTAAAATATCACAAAGTTTGACACAAAGTCTAGTTTTGTAGAACTGGAGAGCGGTTTTGGTGTCAGACCACTTCTTGATGGTCTCCGTCTCGTCTCTGTCCCGTCTCGTCTCCATCTTGTCTCCGTCTCGTCTCTGTCCCGTCCCGTCTTGTCTCCATCCCGTCTCCGTCTCGTCTCCATCCCGTCTCCGTCTCGTCTCCATCCCGTCTCCGTCTCGTCTCCATCCCGTCTTGTCTCCATCCCGTCTCCGTCTCATCTGGATGGTATTTTATGAAATCATCCAGCGCTGGGCGCCGGTCTGGGTCTCGGGTTGGCTGGTCTGAACTACAACGCTGGCCAAGTCTAGTCTGTGTTATTAGAAAAAAAAAGACTGTGAAAGCAATTTTCCCTTTCACATACAGAATAAAAAATATCTTTAGTCAAAAAACAATAATCCAGCCTTTTGTTGCAGCGAGTTCATTTCTAATTCCTGCAGCTGAACAGAAGTGATCAATTCAGGATGAACCTGAAAACATGAAACAGGGAGAAATTTCAGATCTGATTGATTATTTCTCTCTGTGTTTTTATATTTGTGTGCTGATCTGCAGTAGAGCTGGAAGAAAAAAGTTGCAGCCTGGTATCTGATAAATAACCCAGAGCTCTGTCTGCCCCTTGGGGAAAATTACGGCACATATTTTTCTCCATATGAGACACAAAAGGAAAGCCTGGTTTCTCAGTGACGCTGACGGAACTTCCCTGTGATTAGCTGCAGAACAATCTGTGGTTATAATCCTGGGCTCCCCTCTCCAGAGGAATCAGCAGCCATTAAAAGCCCCTCAGCTCAGCGCCGCAGCATTAGCGGTTAGCATCAGCATTCCTCTGGGGAGAGAGTCAAACATCACACTCAAGTTAGAGTACAAGTACTGCTATCTGAACAACAAATGACTCAAATGAGAGGAAAAACTATTTGCTAAAAAGTCTTAGTACTGAGTAACCGGTCAAATTGAAATGCATTGCATGCATTTCTTTCTTTGCTCTTAAAGCAGCTTCAAAAATCTTTTGCTGAGCTTCAAACTCTGCTTCTCGTTGCTTTTCTTCAGCCTCTATTTGAATCTTCCTGAAATTTTGCTCTGCATGCCACTCTGCTTCTTCTTTTTCAAGTTGTAGTTTTTTGTGTAAAGCAGCAGCCTTTGCCTTTAAAGCAGCCCGCTCTAATTCTGCCTCTAATCTCACTGATGAAGATGATGAGACTGAGCTTCCACATTGTGATGAGGAACTACTTTTGTGTTTGTTTGACCGTCTAGATGTCATAGATCTACTGTCTGCAGGTGTTATCCGTTTGTGTCGCTCCTCAGCCTGCTCAGCTCGATCCAAAATGTCTTTCATCCATAACCCCTAATCTAACCCTAGCGCCAAAAGAAGTCCTCCATAGCATCATGGTTCAGTTTGAAACAGTCCTCTTTCACGTATTCTTCATCATCCATAATTTTCTGCAGAGTAGAATTGAGCTTTTTAAACTCTTCTTGCAAGCCACTAAAATCCACAGGAAGCTTATTTTTTACAGCATCAACGTTGGCATCACTTTCCATGAACTGTTCAATTTGCTTCTTCAAGCTTGTCACGTGGGCTAGCTTGGACCTGCGTGCATGCGTTAGCTTAGACTGAAGCTCTTCTGCAGCTTTCTCAGTCATTTTGACTGTTCGTTACCCTAACCCTAACCCCTAACCCCTAACCCTAACCTAACCCTAAACTTCTATGGCTTATGAATGTCAACAGCACGTCTAGTTCCACCGAGTCACAAAGAGCCTTTTTTCACTCACGTACTTCAGCTGCAGCTGTCCACTTTTCCCAGAATCCATGAACCGCCTCCTGCTCAACGCTCGTTATCCAATTTACTCCTCTTCCCGAGTGTCCGTGCTGTTTTCCTTGTTAGCTGGGCTGGTCCAAGTTGCCATGGTCCACGTACAGCGAGTTTTTTGACTAGTATAGGTTCCTAATTAATGAAGCCTTAAGCTTCTCCGTCTTTCTCCTTCATTTCACTGACGACAAAAAAACCAAAACGAAAAACAGACTGAATCCTCTTGATACTTTAAACTGTTTACTTCAGAAATAAAAACAGTACAAAATGTTACATTCCACACTAATAAAGAGCAAATAAGACAGAGAAAGAAAAAGCGAGGTCAAAAAAGCCAGTGGCTCCTCCAACTGGCCAACTCCCCGTCTTTAGCCACATCCCAAATCTTCAACTGCAGTTGCAAACCCACAAGATGTCCCCAGAAACTCAATTTAGGCTTCTACACAGCTGCCAACCTGATGCTAACCCGCTGCCAACCTGATGCTAACCCGCTGCCAACCTGATGCTAACCCGCTGCCAGCCTGCTGCCAACCTGATGCTAACCCGCTGCTAACCTGATGCTAACCCGCTGCCAGCCTGCTGCCAACCTGATGCTAACCCGCTGCTAACCTGATGCTAACCCGCTGCCAGCCTGCTGCCAACCTGATGCTAACCCGCTGCTAACCTGATGCTAACCCGCTGCCAGCCTGCTGCCAACCTGATGCTAACCCGCTGCTAACCTGATGCTAACCCGCTGCTAGCCTGCTGCCAACCTGATGCTAACCCGCTCCCAACCTGATGCTAACCCGCTGCTAGCCTGCTGCCAACCTGATGCTAACCCGCTGCTAACCTGATGCTAACCCGCTGCCAACCTGATGCTAACCCGCTGCTAACCTGATGCTAACCCGCTGCTAACCTGATGCTAACCCGCTGCTAGCCTGATGCTAACCTCAACAGCTTGTCAGGATCCGGCAGTATGCTCCTTTTTCCTCTGACTCTCCTCTTCATCGCAATTTCAAACTGAAATAGGCCTTTCAGTTTGAAAGGCCTGAACAAGTACGACCGGACGGAGCTAGCCCCGTAGCACCTAGCATACACTGTCCACCCAGAATGCATTGCAGCGTAACCAGCATGGCGATGCCCGGGTGACATTTTATAGACGCATAAAAACGGATATTTCAACTCACCTACAGTAGTAATAAGTGTTTCAAATAAAATGTATTGCAACAACTAATTAAGGCTCCGCCTCTGAGAATAGAAAGAAAATGTTGGCCAAAATAAAACCAGGACTTTTTTCTGTAGGAAATAGCAGAGCTGGAGGTTTCACACATCCAACTCATTCCCTTCAGCACAAACTTTAAAAACTGTTAGGATTTCTGCTCCATATTGGGCCAACATTTACCAAAAATACCATGTGAGGACTGTAAACCTGCAAAGGGATAATAAATGTGTTTGTTTCAAAGTATTTTTTAAAGTTTGTGTTGCTATAAAGCAGCAGAATGTGAAGAAAAGAGACTCTGAGGACGATGAAGGTTTATTCAGTGTTTTCCCTCCACCGCTCTGTCCTTTGCCTCCTTTTTCATGTTTGAAGTGTGTGTGAGTGTGTGTGTGTATGTGTGCGTGGGTGTGTGTGTGCGTGGGTGTGTTTGTGTGCGTGTGTGTTTGTGTGTGTGTGTGCGTGTGTGTGTGTGTGCGTGTGTGTGTGTGTGTGTGTGCGTGTGTGTGTGTGGGTGTGTGTGTGTGTGTGTGTGTGTGTGAGGCACATTTGAGTCTTGTACTGATTACCTGGCACATCAGGCTTTTCGCCGTGGACGATTCTCTCTCTCTGTTCACTGAGAAAACATCTGATTCGTCTGAATCAATATGAAACTTCAGCTCTGCACTGGCTGCACATGGAAAACATCTTCTGAATCACAAAAAAATGTACAGCTTAGCCTAAAATAATTCATACACACAATAGATTTAGATTTAAATATATTTTGTTGCTGAAGCGATGGTAAAACAACGTCAGCAGAGAAATCTATTATGTTTTATTAAAATTTGCCTGCCAGAAATCATTGAGTCCCGACTTCTTCATGAACTGATGAAGTTTTTCTTCCTCTGGCAGCAGAGCAGCTTTCCACAGGTTTTCTTGTTCCTCCGGTTGGAAGGCCTCCTTACCATCACCCTAATTTTCTCAGAGTTTCTATCAGATTTATGTCTGAAATCCAAAATAATCAGATCACAGTAAAACAATTTTTAAAACCTGAAACTGCAGGGGTAGAAAAACGCTGTTTATCTGCATGTAACGCTAAAATAAAGATTTAATTTGAATTCTTTTCTGAGTTTTTCTTCTGAATTTCACATCTTATTCCCAAGTCTTCCACCAGGAGCTGTGCTGGAGGTCAGAGGTCATCCTGTAATTTAAAAACCTTTTGTGCTCAGAAAAGCAAATATTTAAAGCTTTTCTGTTCCCATGTCATTGCTGCTGAAAGTTTAAAGTTTAAAGGTCGTTCAGACATGAGTGCCAGCTGTTTTACCTCATTAGTTTTCTGTTACATTTGAATATTTTTAAAACCATAAATGTTCATCCTGAATTAAGTTAAATTGTAAAGTTTAGAATTTGGGCAGAAAATGAGTGAAGTTGAGTTTTCTCCTGATGAGAGCTGATGCATCTCTGAGGTGGTCGGAGTGTTTGTCCTCCCTCCTTCCCCGCCTCCTGTGTTTTATGTGTGTGTGTGTGTGTGTGTGTGTGTGTGTGTGTGTGTGTGTGTGTGTGTGTGTGTGTGTGTATTCTACCCATCCAGACCCCTGTTTACCATGACAATAGCTGCCTGCCGAGAAGCAGTGCTGTGTGTGAGTGGCCCACCGCTGGCTGCTGGCGGGCCCTTTCAGTGCTGCGACCCTCCCGGGTCATAAAGAGGCTGGCAGCAGCGCCAGCGGCCCATAAACTCACAGCTCTACACTTGTTGTGTCTGCCTGCGGTACCAGCGGCGCGCTGGACCGGCGGGGTTCATGTTCGGCGTTTTGTCAGCAGATGAAACGAGAGGAGTTTGATTTTACGAACCTGTTGGATGGGGCCAGGCTGAAAGGACGGGGACACAGCTGAGGACAAAGTGTCCAGTGGGAGGAGCGAGACGGGAAACGGAGAAAAACAAGTTTGCTTTTACAGTAACGTCTATTATCCGACCTGAACATCGACTGGAAGCTCTAAAAATACCATCCAGAAAGAACACAACACAAACGGCACCAGACACGTTCCTGAGATCGGTACCAGCAGCAGAAACCTTCCACAAGCTGGGAGCAAACCCAGAACATTCAGAACCAGAACCAGAACCAGCAGATCTGGAAAGGTTAGGAGAAAATGAAACCAGAACCATAATCCTCTCGTCTGTCCTGCTGGACCTTTCTGGACTCCTGGCTGGCATCAGGCAGCTGGACAGTCTGTCTCTCACTGTACTGCCCCCCGGTGGTGACCCGAGGCAGCTACTTCCGTCTCCATGTCAAACATTGAAACTAGCCCTCCAAACCAGTCTTTGGCTAAAGACCACGAGCCATTTTTCCTGCTAGCGCTAGGCTAGCACGTTAGCTTTGGCTGTATTTACCCAGAATGCCGCTGAGCAGCAGTCAAAGCGACCTCCGGTCCGCTTGGCGTTCACATGCCTGCATTTGTTCTGGATTCAGACTGAGGTTCATCCATTTTGGAACACCTTGACCCCACGGGGTCAGGAGGTCCTGGGCGAGAGGCGGGGTCACCTGGACGGGTCACCTGGACGGGTCGCCGGTCTGTCGCAGGGCTCAGACTGAGGTGTTTTAAGATAATTAATCATCAATTCAGCACATCTGGCTGGTAAAGAAGACAATATTTCATAAAGTTTAGTTATGAATGATGATATTTAAGACCTTCATGAAACCTTTAGCAGCTTTTGGATGTTTCCTCCTGGGTGATTTCCTCCATTTATCTGTTGCTAAATGTTAAAATTCATCAAATCTGTTTGCTAAATTATAAAATCACAGCATCATAAAAAGTTTCGAGGAGGAATCATCAGGAAACTGAAAGCTCTTCAGCAATAATCAGTCCTGGTGGTCAGACGCTCTAGACTCAGATGTTCAGCATTCGGTGTGTGTGGAGTGTGTGATGTGTGTGGAGTGTGTGATGTGTGTGTATGAGCTGCATGCCTCAGACCTTGGGGGGCCGGGTCAGGCAAGCCCAGACTCGTCTGGCGGTCGAACAGAACCTGGCAGAGACATGCAGAACAAACCAACACGCCGACATTCGTTGCATCCTCGTTAGTCGGCATTCGATCTGCTACCACATCTGGGCTTTATCACTGCAGACCACAGAGAAACAGGTGGGGGAGGGGAGTGATCTGAAGAAGAGCAGCATCCAGCTGTTGTTGATTGGCAGCAAACAAAGCCCAGAGTCTCTGATAACCAGCTGACGAGTCCGGCTCAAGCCCTGGAGCAGCAGATCTTCACTGACGTGAACCAATGAGCAAGGCAGTGATTTTTGTTACTGGGGTGAAATGTCTGTTTACCCGGGCAGCCTGGCTTGATTGGCATAAAAAGCATTTTATGTCTTTCTAACTGCTGAGTTCTCACAAAATATTTCTGCTCCAGGTGAGCCTCGAACTCACAACCTCGGCATCTCTCGTACTGTCTATAAGTACCGCGCGCTGACCGATTGCGCCACTGGAGCTTATTGATCAGACCAGAATAGATCAATTAATCTGTATCAAGTCAAAGTGTAACCAATTCAAAATACTTAACACCAGACGTTCTTTGTTTAGGACATTTCTGTGTCTCAGCCTTGGTCACTATCAGTCCTTCATCTTTACTGACTGATTCATTCTTTCCTAGTAGCTCCAACTAATAAAAGACCCATGTTCCAGGTGAGGCTCAAACTCACAACCTCTCACTTCATGTACTATATACACTAAGAAAGGCACACTGACCGCTTGCACCACTGGAGCTTGTGCACCAAACTAGGATTCATTCATTAATGTGTCTAAAGTCACGGGGCGTGTTTACTTCAAAATATGGAACACCTTAAAGTTCAAATTCAGGACAATTATGTGTTTTAAGGGCTGTAATTTCTCTCTTTGCCTCCAAACTTTGGATTTCTTCTGGTCTAATTGTTGGGACAATGGTTTTAGGAGTTTGATCCTCAATCAGTGGGTTGCCAGTACAATTCCTGCTCTGTCACTTTGTCCTTGGGCAAGACTCTCCACCCGTCTAACCTGCTGGTGGTGGTCAGATTGCTCCAGGGCAGCTGTGGCTACTTTCCAGTAGCTTGCCAAAATCAGCATGGCCTCCAGGTGAGACTCGAACTCACAACCTCGGCATAAACAGCACACTGACGACCGAACCACACAGGGACTCTGCTGACTGTCAGGACGTCGGCCTTTGAACCCAGTCAGTCACCTGTTTGTGTAAAGCTGAAGCCAGATGTGAAATCTTTGATCTTTCTCCAACACAAGGAGCCACTTCTACATCGGAACAGAGACGATACAAACTGCTGGCTGCCTACAGCAGGTCATCATTCACCATCTCTTCATCTGTTTTCCACTGACTATCCAAG